GCAGACTATCTGTAGATATGCTAATAGAATGGGTTCAGCTACATACTTTCTGTTCTCATTCAACAGACGTCAGTTCCTAATGTGCCTTGGGCCGGGCCACGGTGTTGGGGAAGATTGTGACCAACGTATGTTCAAAGGCCTTACTCCACAACATGAGCATTACAGGTATAGATCTCCTACCCTCTTAGTCAAGAAAATGTAATCTACTGCTTTCCCTTTAAACAGATATATTAATTTGGAATCCTATATATACATTTTTATTTTACCTGGCAGAAGATGGGAAGCTGCTTTGGCTGTGCAGTCATGTTGGACCAACTGATTTGGGGTTTTTATCCCCCCCTGTTGGTTTCTGTCTTCACTGATGACCTGAGACCCAGGAAACAACACAGAAAATTAACCAACAACCTGAAACTGATTTCTACAACAGTAAAGACAGACAGTAGCTAAGTTACTCTTTCTATACAATTTTAAATCATTCTCTTACAGCAAATCAAATATTTCCAGACCAAATATAGATAATATTTTCTAGATTTTCCTAATCAAATATAAAGAAGCAGCTCATGTAGAAACTCAAACTAACTTACATACCGGGTTGGAGTATTTGTTCTCTGAAAGATGAAGCTGCATCGCAACAAGTTTCTGTTTCTCCAAGACGAGCTGAAAAATATAGAAGAGTTCATTTCCCATCAGACAGATCAACTTTCTGAAGTCTGTGAAATCATCATCATCCAAGCAGGGAGGAGAATGATGGAGGAACTCTTGCGTGTGCAGTTCTCTCACTCTACTGTTAAATTAAGGACGGATCCTCCATCATGTGTCATGGACTCCAACATAAAGGTTAAAGTGTTCAGCAGTGGTGCTAATGAAGTGACTACAGCAGGCATGTAATGTGCATTTGTGTGTTACTATGTGAGCAGACTGCTTGGCATCCTGGTCCGGCGGGGAAACAGGGTCTGACAACCAAAAACACTATGCTAGCAGAAAACCTCAGCACCTCACATTCCTTACATCTACCTTCCAGTTGTGCAAACTTAATCAAAGTCTCTGTTTTAAACCACCAGGACTGTTTTGTTAAAGTGCGTTTTTCTGCTTCTCAGAGTCTGACAAAGAGTTATTAAATGATAAATTACCTTTACAGGTCATGAAACTTGACCAAAGCTCTTTACTCTACATTCAGTCAACTACCCATCCATCCACACACTGATTGTGAGCTACTCTGTAGCCACAGCTTCCCTGGGGCTCACTGATAGAACAGAGGCTGCCATGTAATGGCGCCACAATGCCCTCCAACCACCATCAGCAGACAATGCGGGTGAAGTTTCTTGCCAAATGACAAAACGACAATCTAAACACCCTTATTTATTTGGCTATATCTACACTTGCACATGGAAGTCCTGGGCTCGAAATGCTTTGACAATATTGGTGGATACCCCAGACTCAGCAGCAGGGTGTGCTAGCCTCAATCCTAAACCATGATTTGTGAAGGAATGGACAATTCAAGACATTTGAAGATATACATTTTTCTTTTACCTCTATTATTTTAATCTACAACTCCTGCATAGTTTCCAGCCTCAGACGCCCTCCCCTCTGCTACTCAGATCTGTTTGTTTGTAATAAACGCCTTATGAATAATCTCACTGTCTGTCTGGCCTTGATAACTGGGTCCTCTGTCC